GTGTAACCCTAAACTTTTCATACGAAACATTTTTCTCTATCCCTACTAGTTTTCGAGATATTTGACTGGATCACTTCAGATGGTCCACCCTGTATATCCAGATATATATATATAAACACACACACACACATACACCCAATCACACACACACGCACCTCAAAAAGACATTAGACATTAACATTTTACATATTTTGATTTTGAATGATTAACCAATTGATTTAAGTCATTATTCTGTGCATAAAAATATTGAAGTACAACTGTTAAAAATAGTTCATGAAACATTTATATCTGAATAAACTGTAATATATCTCATAAACTATTAATATTTTGACAAGTCTATCTTAATACTTTTGCATGCAGATTAGAAAGATCATTTCAAATTAAACAATTTTTTTCTAAATATATTTTATATTTAATGTGATTACCCTAATCCCAAAAATAATTAAGGGACGTGATAGATTAAACTAGAACTCTGATGTGTATGTACACACACAAACACGCGCGCGCGTGAATATATTACAATTATATATAACCATTGATAAATTAATTGTGTCAATATAAAAATAAAATTCGTACAGTAATAATTCATTATTATTACTAATTTATTAATATACATATGGGGCATTCTCCGTGTGTCGGAGTCCCCTTCTGCCCATTTCATTTTTTGACAGAATTCAACCAATCAGGGCTTAAAATTTTCGTTGGAGTGTCTACTTTTTAATGGCGTGTGGCCTTTTGTGAAAATTCAAAATGGCGGACTGGTGCAGCGCCGAGAATGAAAAAAGTATAAAAAATGAAGTATATATCTTTAAAAAAAATGCAGAATTGACACTTCATTCGGATGATACTGTATACTGATGAGTTTTCGAGGTTGCTGATTCTGAAGTCGAAATTGAGAAATTCAAAATGGCCGACCGAACATGGCCGACCGAAATGTCGAAATCTCACTTATTTCTTATGATATTTATAATAAATCTTTATGCATGCAGAACATACTTTACGACACGATAATTTCGGAAATGTACGCAACATTGCTTTTGATATACGGTGTAAATCTTTGCCGATATGACCTTTTTCCCCCGGTACAGAAAACGGATTTGCGCATCTGTCTACTCGACTACTGGAAGACATTGTAAAATATATCTAGTCAGTTGGGAAATAAATAATCTACATTCACGAATTCTGTTTGGAAATTTCTAATTGAAAAATTGACAGATAAAATATCAAGGCGAAAAATGAAGACAAAAACTAAAGAAAAAAATCAAGTGAGAAATCAAGCTGCAGTATACGATTTTGCATGAATTATTGAGCCTTTAAATTCGCCGCGTCCTACTTTGCTTACGAGAAACAAGAGCCGCTCACTGACGTACCGTATTGGCTG